GCATTTGGGATAGTCTATGAACCCATTTTCCTTTTTTTTGCCTTTGTGCCACAACTGTTTCCACCATTCTCTAGTAAGCTATCTTGCCAGACAGAAGCAAGGTGCTCACAATTCCCTACTATCTGTACCAAATTTATATGAATGATTAACCCAGTGAACCAATAATCATAAAAATTGAAATTTGGAAAATAAAAACAAAAATAACAAATAAAGATTGAAGCAAATATAAATTACTGTAGACTTTAGAATGGTATCGACTCCTCTGTTACTCTTATGAGATGACTTTTCATGAGTTTTCAAGTTTTCTAATTCTTCTACAAGATTTTTTCAGAGTTGTAACCTTGATCAAATTTTCTGTTAGTTTTTTTTTTTTTTTAAAAAAAAAGAAGACATCAGTTCAGTAAAGTTTCATGCGTTTTTCATTTTTTTTTTTTAAAAAAAACACAAAAACCTTGCAATCTTTGCATCCGTACCTAATATTGTAAAACGTTCGGTTTTGAAGTGAGGTGGACAAAGGTTCATGGGTGGAGTTGTCAATGGAGAGGTTGAGGTGAATGGATGGGAAGGAAGTGGTGAGAGAGAGTTGGGGCCGATGAGTGGAAAGGGAAGTGGAAGGATTTCGAAGGAGAGGGGAGGGTGAAGGGATGACCCGGTGCCAATATTCCCTGCAGAAGGCCTGGGATGGCCCTGCGCACGGACCATCTCCCAACAACTCTCGGGGAGCTGATGACAATTTTTTTGAAAACTACAGTAGATCGAGACCCGCCGCCCACTGCTCTACGCAGTCCAGACGGACCACCTTCCTGGCTGCTGTAGGCAGTTGTTTACAGTGTCCAGAGGTGCTTGAAACTGAGCTATGAGTTGTTTACACTTATAATTACAATACCTTTGCAGTCCCATGGTACTTGCTGAGTACTCAGGGGCTGACAGCCTTTATCACATATATCATATGTTTCGACGGTTTCATCTGCCCAATCACAGCGGACCCCAGTCGGCCAACTTAATTCACCCAGACTCATCGACATCAGGCACGCTCTCAAGCACAAGTACCTGTGGTGGGCTGGGCAACAGGATATTCGACTTGTTCATGCGCACGTTCAAGCACCGCGCCCGCCAGGCCTTTATCGCTCGTTCCATCGATCCCCGCCGACAATCCGACCTCATCTGTGGATAATTTAAAACTGACTCGCTTGTGGATCTGGCGAAGCTCCCATGATAAGCTTTTTTTTCTTTCTTTTTTTTTTTGTTTTGTAGTTGACAGTTACTATTCCATCAAGTCGAGCAAGAGCAGAGCTGAAGTGTCATCAAGTATGTCAGCCAAATATAATTTCCGAGTGAAGCCTTGAGTAGTAAGTGCATGTCTGATGATTGAGCAGTCGATCTAGCGTTGATGGAATACATAATGTCTTTTATGCGTGTCTCTAGCTTTCATGATGACTTTGAGCAGGGATGAAACATTTAAGTTCCTTGATAGTTCATGCATGCAACACTTACGACTAATACTTGCTCCTTACCCCGCATCGCTAATCACGCAAACGGACCAAGGCGCGTTTCACGCCATGACCTAAACACTTTCCCGGATTCCGGCCACCCACACCTGTCAACTTCTGCGCCCGCGTCCGTTCTCGCTCTCGCCTCCTGCTGTCTGCCAATGCCGACACATCTGCACGGAAGCCATCGATCGTAGCCGTTCAGGGGCTTTATTTGGACTTGACTTAGCCCCCGCGTGTCTTCTCCCCGTCTTACGCCCACGTACCAACAATAGTCTGATCTCGAACTAGCCCCGATCAGGTCTTCGAGCAAGTAGATGATGAATTTCTGAACATCGGTTTGCCTCTGAAAACTTTCAACTGATCAATGTCGACCTATGAACGCACATTTTGTTATTTTTGATATCTAACCTGACCACGTCATGCACCACTTGTGCCTAAAGTGACAAGAGAAACTATTGGTTCTAGATGACAACGCTTTTTTCTTGGGGTTCGAAATTATCCTCCGTGGAACTCGCAAGAAGCCCGGCTAGCTCAGTTGGTAGAGCATTCGACTCTTATGAGTTTTCCTTGATTCATCGAATTGTCGTGGGTTCGAGCCCCACGTTGGGCGGCTTCCCTTTTGGTAAATTGTTTTCTTTTCTTTTCTATCCCTTTTTTTTTTTCTTTTTAAAAAATATCTTGTAAAATTCATTCTTGTTCGAACAAAACAGCTATGAAAATTTGATTCTACTCAATTATTATGAAACTTGTATCAGGTAGGTAGAGGGGTAGTTTCGGTAAGTGTCAAAAGAAATTCATACATTATTTATTTCGAATTCTAGCCTAGAAGATCTCTCTAGTAAAGTTTTTTTTTTTTTTTCTTGGTAAGGCAAGAGATGACAAAGGAACCTCAGTGGGAAAAATGGGGGTGGGAAGTTTGGTCAAGCCAAATATAAATTGTCTTTCAGTCAAGTGAGTGGGATAGTTCATAAAATTTCCTCTTGTGACTTCTGTAGCCCTTGTTTGCTGAAAGGGGGATTTTTTTTTTTTTTGAAGTTAGGTTGACAGAAAGGATGAGAAGATTACCTGACGACAGTGAAAAAGCTGTAAAATCAAGCTATATCTGATTTGGAAGAAATAGGGTTTATGGTTGGATTAACTGCAGTAGTAGGTAGGTAGAGATAAGGGCGATGGTACTTTTAGAGTAAAATTAATTGAGATACCCAACAGAAGCCACCGTGGATGATATACAATGAGAGTAACAGAAAGCTTCATCTTCTTCCTTGTATGATCTGACTATCACAAAATAAAAAGTGTTTTTTATTGGTAACCAAGTCAGGAAATCACAAGGGGGTGAATGCTTCTAAGTTTTTATGGTCTGAGTACAAGACGTGTTGGCTTAGCAACAACAGCCGTATGGGAAAAGTTGCTCAAGATAACACGCAAGTGACAATGAGCACCTACAGTGCTATGCTTGCCCCTCTTTCAATGAGAGTTGATCTGCCCTTGGTGCAGCCAAATACGACCATGAGACTCATGCTCATTAAGAGTGTACAAGTCATCATTAGATACAAATACATGTTCATGACTTGAAAGTGTGAAATGGCAGCCAAGGCAACTGATTGAAAATGATTAAAATGACACTGCGCTTTGCCTGTCAAGTTCTGCAATTTCCAAGTGACATGGCCCGGTCTCCGAGTCAAAGAGCAAGGATATACTGTTAGCGGAGAAGCAGCTCAATGAAAAGCTCTCGAAACTTCTTCAGGTATTTTTTTTTTTTTTGTGGTGAGTTTTCATTTCCATGCCACAAAAAGAGTTTTAAATGGGAAACATAGATTGAAGGCCCACATGTGATTGAGAAGGAAAGAACAGTAACAACATCATGTAGGAGAAAAGACTTATAGAAAGTATGTTTAGCATACATCTTCAACATTCTCTCGTACAGGAATAAGTCCTTGGCAAAAAAAAACAACTGGAAAGCCATGTAAAAGGGCAAAACACACTCCCATTTAACATATAGGGAAATGCATTCAGGACCAGTTAACTGGCGCCCAGACGTTTTGTAGATTTGCCTTTCAGTTTACGTTCCAAAGCCAAAAAGGCTTTGATAGCCGGATCCATAGCTTCTTCTTCGGTTTCCTCGCAAGCTCTAGATTCCACATCATGTTCTGAAGATGACTCCGAGATGCCCAATTCTTGTATCTGCTGCTTGACATTGCGTAAAGCCGCTTGATAGGCAGTGAGCTCTTCGAAATATATGTCGTGGACACAATGGGCACAACCTACAAAAATAATTGCCACACACCTACAGTCAGAACAAATGTTTTACAGCCTCCACTCTGGCAAGAACCTCACCTGACATGCAACAATCTTCCGGACCGGGTGGCGTGGGCTTCGATGGGACCGAGACATCAACCTCTTCTTTTTTTCCCTGGCTCGCTGAGAGGCTCAGAAGACTATGGACTTGACTCTGGCTGGGTAGTGAGGATATAAATGGCTTAGATCGATCGTGGCTGTGAGCGCTTTCCTTGATCGTCAGCCCGACGAATCCCTGGAGATGTTTAGTCGGGGCACCGCTCGTAAACTGATGTCGCAGATCGAGTTGAGCTCCATCTACGCAGATCCAAGATAACGAAAGGTTAGGAGGGCTCTGTCCTGGGTTTACAGTTGGACGTTCATCTTTCAAGACTTGACGTAACTGGGGTCGCAACTCGGTTCGCAATTCGTCATTGGGGACGGGTGTACAATTCAGTCGATCCGATCCATTCACGATGATGTACACCCGTCGAGGGGACACAGGAGATACGAAGGACGATAGATGTCGTAGAAGGATTCTTGAATCAGGCTTAGGTGAGTAGCGGATGGACATGGGCAAACAAGGAAGTACAAGACCCGGCACATGTTGCGATAGGTGGACGGCGGTCATTTTTGAGAGCGTGCGCGCACTGATGCAGAGTTTTTGACGCAAAAGGCGCGCAGCGCAGCTCCCAAAACTGCCCCGGAGAGCGTATAGCTAAATTTGTATATAATATCCGCACCCGATGAAGAAAGTTATATTTGGCCCTAGCATGCAATTATTTTTAGAAAGACTATGAGTGAACCCATTAACCCTTGTCCTCCTTTGACCCAGGTGATTTGTGTCACAGTTGCTTCAAGTCAATCCAGGTCCATTATTGAGGTCAGTCAAGGTCAATTGGACCTCAATTAACCCCAAAGGACCTTGATCAATCTCAATCAATCCCAATGAACCTCAATTAACCCCAAATGACCTTGATTAATTTTAATGAATCCCAATGAACCTCAGTGAACCTTTCTCAAACCTGACTGGTGTGAGGGAGGTTGAGAAAAGGTGAGAGAGGTTGAAGGACAGGTGGTTCAAACAGTGGGCCATAAAGCAGATTTGACTGGGGATTTATGGCCCAAAACATAGTCTAAAACATGATTTAATCTCTAACCTGATGTTTCTTCTTCTTTGGGTGCAGACATTATATATAGACCTAGATGTATTTCCTTCCTTCCTTCATTTATTCATTCATTCATTAAAAAAAAAAAAAAAAAAAAAAAAAAAGATTGAATAAATTGAAAAGAATCAGGGAGTTTACTTTTAGCTGTCAAAGATATTGGCCACAGACCAAGTAGAAGGCTCTGCATCTAATTCTACACTGGGTATAGAGGGAGTGGCATAGTTTTTCTGTTCTTTGAAAAGAGGAAAATCAAAGTGTATCCATCTGCAAAGCTGTTTTCCACAGAATTTTCAGGAACCCCTTCTTCAAAATCCTCAAGTGCCTTGCACTGCTTGCAAAATAGTGAAAACCTTGGATAATGTCAACAGGATGTTACACAAGTGTTACACAGCAGTATGGTAACATAACATGTGACAATATATGTAATGTCATGTGTAACACCAACCAGCCTGGGCCAACAGTCAAGAGGTGGGCCAGGCCAATATCCACAGCCCAATTCAGCAGCCACCACCTCCTTGCACCCTTTTGGCCCCATCCATCTGTTTTCCATCACTTCCCCCTGACTCAATGGAAAGCCCACCACCCCCCTCTATAAAACCACTGTTCTCATTGTTTAAGACTTGGTGGTGAGCAATGTGATTTGGCTTGGTCTCATGAGTGTGCTGGGTGCCAATCAACAAGTGAAGTATTACTTTCCATCCACTGAACTGCTATTCTTGCCATCTGGATGGTCAAGTACAATTCCAATCCACAGGCCTTTAGCAGATGTGGTGGTCCCAATTGTTGAGCCACATGCTCAGTGTTATCTGCCTCCAGAATTTGACACATGTACATTTCACATCTGTGAAAGTTGTTCTCACTTTCTCTCTTAGACCTCTCCCTGAAGCACATGGAAGCTCTTCTCTTTTATTCATTCTTCCACTATTCCAATCACTCACATCAACACTCACTTTGTCATCTTAATGTGTGTGCTTGGAATGCTTCAGACCTGATACTCTCATCTCCAATGTGGGTCACATGTCCTGCTCTGCCTATGGGTTCATGATTAACATCAACAACATGGCAGTTTGGAGTTTTCAGAGGTGAGATCAGAGATAAACCCACCATGTGGAAGACTTACTTTCACCACCAACAAACTTGCATCACATAAAGGCATGCTATGTCACATTGCATTGCCCAAATGCAATGCAATAGCACTGCCAAGATATTTGTATTGGATGGGCCTATCTGATGTTCTATCACCCCAAGATATGCGATGCAGTGTCAGTAGAATTAGGTGCGATGGAATTACTATCGGTATCTAATGCTCTGACACCATATTGCAGTGTAATTCCATCACACCTAATCCTACTGACACTGCATCACATATCTTGGGGTGATAGAACATCAGATAGGCCCATCCAATACAAATATCTTGGCAGTGTAGACCTATTTCCCAAGGTAAGGACCTTGAAAAATGGTCTATAGCATCACATGAAGACATGCTATGTTACATGGCAAGCTTCCATGCAATGAAAATATGCTGGAAGTGTATGTCATTATTCTTGAAGGGGGTAGCTTTATTGCAAGTCATCAGGATGAGTGGTGGGGAAGAAATTGGAGGAAAGAGGTGAGATGGATCCAAAGGAGGCTGCACTGAGAAAGAACACAGATGTTGCTGGTTGGCTAGCTTTAGTTTGGCTAACCTCAGTGACAAGTGTGGGCTTGACTAAACCTAGTTGATTCAAGGGTCACAAACAGCAGAGCCAGAGATTGGTGTCAAGGGGGGGTCCAGGAGCTGGTAAACTGGCTCAAGGAGAAGGTGGAATGGAACGCTTGGGGCAGAGTGATTTGGCTGGGGCAGGGGAGGATTGACCAAGAGGAATATAGAGGTATAGATTAGCTGCCAAAGCTGCAACATTTCCTTGAATGATTTGTAAAATCAGTTTGAAAAAGGCCAAAACATCAGTGTGATGGCCAGCTCTGCCAAAGTCTCTTGGATGATGGAGTTCAAAAACAGTCTTTGTCAACTTTCAAAAGATAAGATGGATACCAGCTATTCTTTCAGTTTTCACCAGCTTACAATGCAACCCCTTTCAGGAATCCTTGAGCTGAGAAGTCTCCCCATTGTGTTGGAAGAAAAATGCAAAGGCATGTCCAACACTGCCAACAAAGACATCTAGGACAA